GAGTAGTACCACGAAGTTACGCGTCGTTTTTAACGCCTCGTGCAAAACGACGAACGGCACGTCGCTTAACGACCATCTGCTGGTCGGACCGAAGTTACAGCAAGATCTCCCCGCTATTCTGCTGCGCTGGCGGCAGTGGCGTTTTGTTTATACTGCAGACATCGCCAAGATGTTCCGGCAAATCCTCGTGAATAATCTCGATACCGACTTCCACCGAATTCTCTGGCGTCCGTCCTGCGACACGCCGATCACGCATTTCCGGCTTTTGACCGTAACGTACGGGCTCGCTCCCGCTCCGTATCTCGCGATGAGCGTTTTGAAACAATTGTCGTTAGACGAAGGGTCCGACTATCCGGCGGCCGTCCCGATACTACGCAACTCCGCTACGTCGACGACGCGCTATTCGGTGTAGATGACGTCGCGTCGCTGATGGAATGTCGCGAGCAATTGACGGGACTCCTTCAACGAGGGGGCTTTCAATTACGGAAATGGGCGTCGAATTCGCCTGAATTGCTGCGCGATTTGGCAACGCGTCAAACCGACATGGAGGATCACCTCCTGCAGCAGGACTCTTAAGGTACTCGGAATTTCGTGGCTTCCCCACGATGACACGTTTCGTTTTCAAGTGGACGTTTCGTTTCCGGTCATTCCGACGAAGCGTTCAGTCCTGTCAGTTATTGCTCGATTATACGACCCCCTCGGCTGGGCCGCCCCCGTCATTGTTGCAAAAATCCTTTTACCGGAATTATGGTTAACCCAATCCGATTGGGAAACCCCTCTCCCTGACGAATTGCGTCAGCAGTGGGAGGCATATTATAATAATTTAGAGACACTGAACGGTATCCGGATCCCTCCGGACCGGTCGACGAGGTAACGATCGCCTTTGAACTACACGGTTTCGCGAATGCCTCAAACCGAGCCTACGCCGCCGTCGTTTACATTCGCATTCTTCGCATGCATGCGGACGTTCAAGTCTGTCTACTCGCCGCGAAAACTGAAGTCGCGCCTCTTAAGACTCTCAGCATACCGCGACTCGAACTGAACGCTATCGTATTGCTGAGTCGATTAATTAAGTGGGTTCAGACCCTAGTTCGTAAGGCCGTTAAATCTCATATTCGCGCGTGCGTTACGTGCACGCGTTACTCCGCGCTGCCTTGTTCGCAACTTATGGGAGGGCTTCCCGCTTCTCGGGTTAACCCGTCGCCGCCGTTCGACCACACCGGAGTGGACTACGCCGGTCCCTTTAATGTTCTTCCGTTGGTCGGCCGCGGACAAAAAACAAGAAAGAACTACGTCGCTTTATTCATTTGCCTTGCCACGAGGGCCGTGCACCTCGAGCTGG